CGGTATACAGCATAGTTTAAGGAAGCTTTACTTACTACCCGTTTCTATGATGAGTTCTATGTACAATTTATGCTTGGAAACTTCTGTTACAAATATCATATCTAATCAATAAAACAAACCTATAGCTATAATCTTAAATTTGTCAATCTCAAATTTTTCAGACTTTTGACAATGAAAAGTATGACAAAGAGAACAGTTCCTTTCTTAAACCTACTTTAGCCAACAATGGTCACGGAGTCATTGAATGATTCAGGCAATAAAAAAGTAAAATAACAAGAATACCGAACTCCAAGGAAATTTCTAAACGGAAAGTCCCTTATCAAATGGCAAAATCAAAGGCTTAAACACGTCAAACGAATGGAAAACAACTGTCATATACCTGACTTGGTACAGACATTTCCTTATGTAGAAAATGGTGGATTAAACCTGGAGTTATAGCTAGTTAAACCTTTCACTTGTATGACAGTCGCATATAATTCAATTATATTGACAACAATGTGTGAGCAAAACAATCAGACATAATAGGTAAAAATGTAAAAAAAAAAAAAAAATGGGGTAAAGCAGTCAACATTATGTTATGATTTTAATCGCTATCAAAACAAACAACTATGTCAACATAAATGGCATATAGACACTCTCTGACAAAGCACATAAGCAAAAATGACAGACAAGATACAAAAATTACCATAGCATAATAACATAATAGCGGGATGTATAAATACCGAGCCACGCCAAAAGGATATTACCAAAAATGGACTAATCATTCACTTTCACTATGGATAAGTCAATTCTAACATTCCAACCTATATAAAAAAACATTTTTTTTATCAAAGACACCAGGCTTATAGTATAGTACTACAGACGCACATTTCGACTACACAAAACTCGTCAGAGGCATTTGTTTAAAAAAAAATGAAAACAAAATCAACTACAAAGTTAAAAAGCATTAAAAACCAAAATTTCATGACAAGGTGTTGTCAAATCTGGTCAAGGTCATTTACGCCTGTTACAGAAAAGCGGTCAGGTTTCGAATAATTTTGACATCTAATGAATAGTAAAATCACAGAAATTGACAGCATCAATGATCATTCGTGTCAACGCAGAAATGCTGACTACTGGATTTGAGATACTCGCGGTTACGTAACACTAACCAGCAGCGGAGCCAACTCATGTGGTGATTATACAAACTTACCAGATACCAGGCTTATATGCTACGATTTATTACGCTAGACGCGCGTCTTCCAATGGAAATCAATTGTCTGATTAAGAAAGAAGTATACATTTGTATATTGCAGATTGCTCTAAATGTATTATAACCCTCATAAAGTTCATCGGAAGATACCAAGACTTAGTTGATAAATATTCCGTATCAACTACACAAATAATAAAGGATGGTCTTGAAGTATAGATTCTAGGTGCTGACGTTGTTTATCATCTTAATTACGTGTTATAGTGTTCTTTTATTTGTCTTTGTAAATTATTAACCTTTACTGTTTAGTCCATTTTTGGTAATACCCTTTTGGCGTGGCTCGGTACTTATGCATCCCGACAATGTGTTGTTGTGCTGTGGTAAGTTTTTTGTATTCTTGCCTTTCATTTTTGCTTATGTGCTTTGTCTATATGCCATTTTGTTTTTCTTTGTTGGTATATTTGTTTTTTTTTTTATAATGATTAAGTTTATAACACGATGTTGACTGCTGTACCCCTTTTTTCGACATATTTACCTATTATGTCTGTTTGTTATGTTCACACATTGTTGTCAATATAATGGAATTTTATGCGACTGTCATACAAGTGAGAGGTTTAGCTAGCTATAAAACCAGGTTTAATCCACCATTTTCTACATAAGGAAATGCCGGTACCAAGTCAGGAATGTGACAGTTGTGTTCCATTCGTTTTGATTTTGCCATTTGATAAGGGACTTTCCGATTTAAATTTTCCTTCGAGAATGGTATTTTTGTTATTCAACTTTTTCCTCAACACCTACACACCATTCAAATTTTGTTATTTTTAGTTATATCGGGATTCAGTGCTGTAGATAAATAATTCTTTAATCTGAAAAATCTCTTTACGACAATGGGAGCTACCATTGTTATGCATTTCAATTGGATGCAGCTATCATAGTTGACGAGATTCTTCTATTTGAAATTTTCCAGTCTTTATGGTGCGGCATGCCGAACCGTATGACACATGTCCAATCTTGAGTAAACATTGTCTATTTTTTAATTGCAATTAAGCTTTGAACTAGCATACAGTATCTACTAGTACTCTAGATATTCGATCGTTTATTGTGTCTTTTATAGTTTTTATGTTGTTTATTTTGTGCATAGTACTAATCTCATGAAGTCCTTTCAATTTATTTTTCAGTATACTGCTACACCACTGTCCCAGGGAAGGCCATGGTTTAGAACTCACAAACATGTTTGTGCCTGTTACATACTCTCTGTGCCTGTACCAGGTCAAGAACATAGTTTGCCTAGAGGGTGTCGTTGGTTGTTTTCTACCACATTTTTGTACCGCGTGAATTAAAATATTATCAGCTTACGATAAGACAACACCAAGAAGACAACAGTCTTAATTTTTGAAAGTTTAACTGCTTATATTTGAAATGCTGCATAAAGATATACGACTTACTAAATGAAGGCAAAATCAACGATCTACTGCTTAAACACACGATAACTCATATTTCAAATCAGGAACCATTAAACAGGTGCCATATTTAGAAAAAAAAAATTAAAATTTTTCGTACTTTCTTATATTTTAATAAGCACTTCCAGCTTTGAAGCACTAACATTGTTTTATTTTTCCAGACCAAGACTAAGATAATGTACAAGCTCCAAAGCCGTGTCTCAGATTTATAATATTATGCCTTATTACGGAAATTATGGATGGATATATATTTTGTTCTTTTCAACATATAAATCGCAAAACTATTCTTTACATGACCATGAAGAGCATATTTGTGCCTTTTAGACGAGATTTTTTAGAATAGGATGAGTGCCATTGTTTTTCAATTTTCTTACAACCATGGTCTTTAGTATGATAAGGTAATGCTGGATTTACTTTACACCCTCTTAAAGAGAGAATTTATATATCGAGGCTAAAAAAGGAGAAGTCTCAAACGCTAAATATATATATTGAAATTAAAAAATGTATATGGCCAAGGTCAGATTTAATACAACTTTTTGAAATATTTGGTTATTAATGCTTTTCAATTTCGTATCGTATTTGATTTGACAATCTATATGGTTTGATTCGAGCGCCACTGATTAGTCTTGTAAAGATGATCACGAAACGCGCATCTGTCATTCCAAATTATAAGCCTTATCATAAGTAGGTGCAGTATAATTATAACTTGTATGTGATTTGCAAAGTTGGTATGCTTATCAAATTTTAATTTCGTACTCTTATCTTACTAAAAGTAGTTTGAGTGAAATGTCCCGGTATTAATAATTTATGTTGTTCTCTACTGTCATTATTGTCACTATATCTATTATGTTATTTTATTACAACATTATTTTCGATTCTGCAACAAAATATTCACTCATTAATTCAATACTGTAGCTTTCCATGAAACTGGACACAAAAGAAAAGATAAATATCTTGCAAGAGATTGTGGAAAATTTCAAGAAACGTCTCGTCCGCATCAGGTTTACATTGCTAGTAGAATGTCAGTTCTCGTTGTTATCATTCAAATAATTTCATCTGTTAATTTTTATTATCATTTGTCAGATATGTGATTGTAAATTATATGTAATTATATGTAAAATTTAAAGGAATTTTGAACAAGACGGCTTTTTTACTTTGTTGTAGGTCTGTGTTGAGTTGTCTGTTCTTTCAGTATATTTTGTTTTAATTTTAAATACCATGTCTTTTAGATATATCTGAGAAAGTGATAAGTTTTTATCTAAAACTTAATCAGGAGTTGCTCCGGTGGGGAGAATGCAGCACACTCTCCGAGTGTATATATGAGCCGGCAGTGTTAATCCTGTCACCTTCTTTAATACACTTTATATTCATTCTAAATTAAACTACAGCTAGCAGGAATCCTTAAAGACTATGATTCCACTCGAGTTGTTTTGCAACTGCATTGGCATTAGTTTGGTACGATTTACTAAATTCTAAAACACAACACGAAGTAAATCAAAATACAATTACATTAACTTTTTTAGTGTAACCTGTTTGATTTGATTCGATTTAACTTGAAATCCTTTTCATTTTGATTTCGTTTGCAAACTATTACTATATTTAATTACATTTCATTTTTTGAACTTAACTTTTGAAATACTATTATTTTTTATTTCATTTGTCTATGCTTTATTTGAATGTTGAACATTTGTAAATAAATTGTTGATATGTCTCTGGTCATCCAAAATCTGATATCAGGTATCCCGATGATCGAATAAGGACGAAGTACTGGCCACGACACGTCACGGGAGGTGTCGACACTGAACCCCTCTTGTTACATATACTTAACAACACAAATACGCACCACATCTTCCGATATATAGCAGTTTCACAATTTCATGTTTTTGAAACAAATTTGTCGAAATCTATTATATTTTAAGCATGACCTTGAAATCAATGCAGAGTTTACAGAGAAATATTCATTTTAGTGGTGACAACGGAGATTTCAATTACAAAAGTCAAAAATCAAAAGTCTGAGATATGCCAATATCAAATTTTTCATTAGACAAGAATTCAGTTAAGAACCTGAAAATCAAAGTCATTTTTGTTGTTTGCAGGTGAAAAGATACACACGACTTTAGTTTTCACAAATTTAGCAACAGTTGTTTTTAATTTCTGATATGTTAAACAAGAAAATCAAGAAAATTCTTATTGTCACAGTCTATGATGTTTATGACTTCAGAAAAGTTCTGTCAAAATTTGTACCCAATTCAATAATGTAAAAAAAGTTATATGCAATAGAAATCTTTACTCCAAAGAACTTAATTAGGGTCGTGCGTTTCTTTTGTTGTAGAGTATATACATCACATGAGTATAATGGAGTTCAATGCAGTCGATTTGTAGTTAAGGAGGAATTTGTCATTAAATCTGGTAAGATATCTTGTTTACTATTAAAATACAAGAATAATATCTTAATAAATAGTTTATTGCATCATACCTGACATCTTAAGTATACATTGGTTGTTGAATATTGAAAACAATCACAAAACATGCCTTTTTGACATGAATGTAGGTCAATCATTCATTGTGATTTACGAACAAAAATATATTCTAGCTTTTTGCTGTATTGAAATGTTGTATACTGTATATGTTTATTATTTCATAGACCTGATCTTATTATACACAAAAATATTTTATCATAATACTGTTAATACTTTGATCATAAGTGACTTTCATTTGTATACAAACAATTGTCCCACGTGATACGTAGCGTAAATGTATGTGAATGAATTATTACTTTTATTTATTATTCAAAACAGAGTTGCTGGAATGTTTTTCTCAAAATTCATTAACTTAAATTGTGCATTTTCAAATTTATGTACAGAAAGATTCTCTTAAAACATTATTGGTGACTGTGTACGTGTTTAATGGAAAATTACTGGAGTGTTAGGTGAATCGATACTATTTATTTATGTCTGTGGCTACTAGAGCATAACGTCTACGTTTATTGTCAAACAGAGGCTTACTGAAAGAACGAAAAAAATAAAATGTTAGTTAAATGTTTTTTCGGAAAATGTCATTGTGAAAACGGTCCATAAAACCTTGAAGAAAATCTTTAACGGATTTTGATGGAATGGAATCTCATTATATTAATTTGAAACTTGCCGGACTTTGAATTAGAAAAATAGATCCGAGTTTAAGAATGATTCAATAAAAACACATTGTAAAAACGGCGGAGAAATATGATCCAAAATTTACCTGTGACTTGGAAGAACAATTTTACTGCGTATCATTCTACTATAAAAATACCCTTTCGAAGTATATGGTATCTAGTATTTTGATCTGATATGCCTCCTCAAAGTTTTACGCAATGCACATTCTCATATCGTTAGTGGCCTATGCTTCACCAAGGGGCAACATGATTAAGCAAGTAAGCACATTCTAAAACACAATTTAAGAGCCATAAGTAGTCATTCTTTGAGAAGTTTATTTGGAGCCCTAGGTATAAATTGTCTAAGTCGTTTTTGGCACAACTTTTCGGAATATTCGGTTTTGCAACTGTTTTGCTTCGTGCGCCACTGATTCTAATGTAGCCGAATCGGACATAAGGCGTACCGAATTATAAGCCATGTACCTTTGAAGAGTTTTTGTACAATAAAAAAGAAGATCAAAAGAAAAGTGACTGATTGACTCAAATTGCCTTTTGTTAACTATTTCAGATGCACTGATTGGATTTTAATGGTATATCTATATATATTAGCAGTGATTACTGAGTATATACTGCTTTTGGTAGTGCCCGCTTTTTCCACAGATGTTAACAGTACACTTGTTGTAAAAAGTGTAAGTTTCTCTATGTGTATAAAGGGCAAACAATACTACGACTTAGATCAGAATAAGTGCAGACGATGCCCAGGCTGTAGAAAAGCTTCAAATTATTTGCAATATGTAAGTTATATATTTACTATGGTTATTTGGCTTATCATTTGTCTAATAAACAAATGTCTTGTTGGTCTGTCACTTGTATGTTAATGTCAACAATTTGTAGTTGACATATCAGCGATCAATATTACTTATTATGAGTATGAAAAAAAATCCATGTGTTTTTCAAATATGGCCACGAAGGGAGCAAACTGGTAGAATGGTCGATTAGGGTCTATATAGTTATGACCTTGAAAAATATTCATTAACATGGCAGTGATAAAACTTCTTTTCGGTTATCTTTTTTTTGGGGGGGGGGGGATTTCCCCACAAATTTTCATCTGATTACACCATAAAGGAGCTTGCGATTTCTCACACATTTGTAAAACTAATAACCTTCCGTAGGTCATCATGTAACACCTGCCTCATATAGGATCAGATAAAGGAATAAATAAACTAAATAATTATACAAAGAACTATCAAATATCAGATATACAGTACATGTCGATTGAACATTGATACTTTTTCGTCGATGTAAAATACATTTTGTGCATAGGAATATCAAAATCATGAGAAAATGAACTAATAATATTATACACACTCGAACGGTGTACGACATACTTATATTACTAACTGATCTAAAAAATAATTGACTAAATCTGAAAAGCTCCCCTTTCAGAAAATAAGGATCAGTCAAGAATTTGGGGCATTAGACTGCTATCCCTGTTACTGCAACCCAGGTGTAAAATTCTATGACGAACATTCTAGAAAATGTAGTAGATGCCCTGCCTGTAATATGTATGGTTACATAAATACTAGCGAGGTGAGTAGTACAAAGTAAGACCCATTTTTAGTATATGCAAAGATAATTGAACATAAACACGAAGCTTATCAAACATTGTATGTTATTCGGGATCTTCACAGGTGGGCTCATATTCCCTATCTGTGTTTTATATCTCTTGAGCCGCCAGGCGAAAGGGATATAGGACACTGACATGGAATGTGAGCCCATATCCTCTGTGAAGCCCGAAAATCAATAATATTATACTGGAGTGTCCTGGTTTCAACACTAATTATCATTTTTGTCTTTGTTTTCCTTCACAGGGCTTATATCCCCTGTTTAGGTAACCAATAAAAATGGACGAAAGATATCAAAGGGACATTCAAACTCATAAGTCGAAAATAAACTGAGAACGCCAAAAAACGAAAAAACGGGAAAAAGACCAAAAGACAAACAACAGTATACAAAACACAACATAGAAAAGACTGAAACTAAGTATCAGACATTTCATGCATTTGTATGAACGATAAAACATACATGGTTCAAAAAGGACCCCAACGTTTATCTGAAAGGGAATATAAATTACTAAAATGAAGAAAAAAAAAACACCCAACATTGCAAAGTCATTATTTGTTCGAGCTAGGTCACATACATGAGTAAAATGTAGTCATGTCGCTTCTTTTGACGTGATAAACTATGTGCACAAGAAATGGAAATCTTGTTTACAAACGATTCGTTATCACAGGAAATCCATATTGATGAGTTTTATGGAGCACTTGAATGTAACCAATGTGTATGTACTGCTGGATATTTCGCCAATGCATTGACTCATCACCAGTGTGCAGAATGTTACGACTGTCACGAACAGAATAGAGAGTTTATAACTCACTGTACACAAGACACAGATTCCGAATGTGGTGGTTGTCTGATAGGGTAAGTCATTAATTAAATATCAATCGCCTATATGGTCTTTATAGACCAATGTTTCATCTGTTTGTAATGGATATAAAAGTGTTGTTGAAATAAGGATATTATATATATGAATTATACTATTATTTATGAAATTATGATTTTATATGATTTTGAATATTACAAATATTTGAATGTGATTAGTTAGTTGAATCTTTTTTCTTGGTATACACTTTAACAATGCTGCCGATCCTGCTTTCGTAACCTATGTAAACAATAACAATATTTCCTAATTCTAATACATTATGAATTAAAGCTTTATGCTTTATTATGTAATTAATTTTGAAATATTTTTCATCATAGGTATGTGAATCTTGGGATAGAAAATGCTGCATGTGGTAAGTTCTCATATTTTTTGATTTGTTGTGAAAATAACACTTAAAATATTTAATGCCTCCGAAGCGCTTTTCAGGATTTGAATTTATTAAAAATGGTCAAAATATTGAAAGTAAAGGATGTATAAGATTCGAAACTGGTGAAGTGCTACATGACTAAAAAGGGACCTAAATCAATAGCAAAATCCATCTAAGGTCAACTTTACCTGAGTGAGTCATAATAATTTCTAAATTTAATACATATGCGACTTTTCATCATGCTAATTTAACGCAAATGTAGGTGAACAGAAATGATCGGGATATAAGTGTAAAGAAGCAAGCTTAAAATTGAGAATGGAAATGGGGAATGTGTCAAAGAGACACCAACCCTACCATAGAGCAGACAACAGCCGAAGGCCACCAATGGGTCTTCAATGCAGCGATAAACTCCCGCACCCGGAGGCGTCCTTCAGCTGGTCCCTAAACAAATATGTATACTAGTTCAGTGATAATAGACGTCGTACTAAACTCCAAATTATACACAAAAAACTAAAATTAAAAATGATACAAGACTAACAAAGGACAGAGGCTCCTGACTTGGGACAGGCGCAAAAATGCGGCGGGGTTAAACATGTTTTTTGATATCTCAACCCTCCCTCTATACCTCTAGCCAATGTAGAAAAAACAAACGTACAACAGTACGCACAGTAAAACTCAGTTTAAGAGAAGTCCGAGTCCGATGTCAGAATTGGAAACAAAAGAAAATAAACAAAATGACAATAATACATAAATAACAACAGACTACTAGCAGTTACTGACATGCCAGCTCCAGACCTCATTTAAACTGATTGAAAGATTATGTCTTCATCATATGAATATCAGGCACAATCCCTCCTGTTAGGGGTTTAGTATTATACCATCATAAAATATATGAGAAGAACATAACCCGTGTCATGCCAACAACTGGTTTTAGAATAAATATGTTTAATTCCGATGCAAAGACCCTATAAGTGAATCAATATTAAAGCCAAAATATGCAATCTTTAATGACCCGACAAAAGTATCGTAACTATATCCCTTCTAAATAAGTCTGTTTAAAGGTTTGGTTAGCTTTTGAGGTGAATACTGACATTTTTGTGCTTTGTAAAGAATATTACCATAAAAGATTGGATGTGAAATACCCGAACGTATAAGATGTCTGCATGTTGAGTTACATTTACGAATGATGTCCTTATACCGATGATAAAATTTAGTAAATGTTTTGACTAGTTTATGATATCGAAAACCCTGGTGTAATAATTTTTCAGTAATACATAAATTTCTCTCGCTAAAATCTAATACGTTGTTACATACACGAGCGAATCGTACAAGCTGAGATATATAAACACCATAAGATGGTGACAAGGGAACGTCACCATCTAAAAATGGATAATTAACGATAGGAAACGAAAAATCATCTCTTTTATCATGAAGTTTTGTATTAAGCTTCCCGTTAATGATATAGATATCAAGATCGAGGAAAGGACAGTGGTCATTGTTAGTATTAGCTTTATTTAAAGTAAGTTCAACAGGATGAATTTCTTTAGTATACATACTGAAGTCGTCATTATTGAGAGCCAATATATCATCCAAATATCTAAAAGTATTGTTAAATTTTTGTATCAGATGTTGTTTCGATGGGTCTTTGCTGATTTTAGTTAGTATAGTCTACATATAAATAAACATAATGTTTACTTTGTTTTCATTGCTTGTTTTTTGTAGTGCTTCAAACGTTATTTATTAGATAATCGAAATTTAAAATTTTAGTCAAAATCCAAACAACGGTTGCACCAAGCCTTAGCTCATCAACAACAATAACGATCTCAAACAGTGGTCACAGCGAAGTGGTGATATCACATACTATACTCATTGTTATATTGGTCATGGTTACATTCACTGCCGCCTGCATTATCTGCATAGTTTATCGTATTATACATCATCCATCCTGCTGTAATTTTAATAATGATGTGACACCCCTTGCATCAGCTACAACACTCGCCTCAACAACATCTGTGATCAAGAAAAGCAATCGACAGGGACATTTGAATGTCGGACCCACTGCCATTTGTAGTCTTTTACGTAAGATCTACAATATTTTACTTCCATTGATAATCAATTGTTTTAGTATATTCGATCATTCCTGAACCTACGAAAATATTATTGAATTTTGTTTTAATTTTCAGTTCTCTTATTCCGAATGAGGTTGCAGTGTCTGCAAGGTCAATGTTAATAAAATTATATTAAGATGAAAACAAATTGTGGGGTATTAGTTTGCAAGCTTTGCCTGCAGTATCACTAGTGTTTTCAACAAAATTTCACAAGCTACCCCGCAAAAAAGAATTAAAGTGTGTCCCCTTAGGAGTCCTTATAATCAATTGAATGATTTGTAAATCCATATTTTGCTTATCAATTTTGCTGTTTACCATTTATTTGTGTCTATCAGTATTTTCGATGTTATTCAAATATTCGAAAAAGTCATATAAAAATCAACATTTAAGAGCAAAGGATCCACGAAATAATAGTAAGATATTTGTGATGGATAAATTCTTTCGAAAGTAGATCTTAAATTTCTGAGCATATACCTCTATCTTTTGTGGCTTTCAATTTCTTATGTTCTGGTGTTAAACATGGTGGTGATGTTGGTTGCTGGGCCGAAGCGAGCTTACAATTACTGTTTTTCTTTTCTAAGTAGAATCAGGAAGCAAAGACATAGAACAAAATGATGAACAGCAACTTGAATCTGACGGTAAATTATTTGTACTATAGTATATGTGTATTATAAATATTTAAAATAATTATTGCTAAAGAGCTCATCTTTATTTGTATTTTGGAAATGTTTAACTAAAGAAGCAATACATATATCATAAAACATGCTGCTTGTATCATCAGTGTGAACGAAGTCCGCTTTTGTGGATGATGGGGACAGTATGAATTTAGATAAGCGCCTGAACCCATTACAGAACGTCTTCTTAACTGTCGAGATGGACATTTCTCTTACCTATCCGAAATATGTATTTATTATTCTATTGATTATTGCTTTTTACCTCCTGTTAGTTTTTTCTACTTGTCTCAGCGTATATATATTATTTATAATCCAAAGATTTGTGCAACGAAACTAATTTAGAAAAATAAAAATATACGAACAAGATGAAATGAAATGATCTTACTGACAAATATTTCGGCACAACTAATAGCCTTCGTCAGTCTTTTGTTTTTCAAAATGTAACAAAACACTCTGTTTTATTTTATAATCTTGGACTTGACCATAAACCCAAATTCGATATTAAGTAGACGTGAATGCGAATGTTTATATCTCTATACTCTAAGTAGACGTGAATGTGTATTGTTGACAATCTAGCCCAATAATTATCCTTTGATTTTCGTTGTATAGTCGTGGACAGTGCACTATCAAATCATCTTCATTTGGCGATACTAAACAAACAGGAAAATCAAACTTTTAATTTTTATGAACGCGTTTAAAAGTATGAGTTGGATTCATTTCAGATCAATAATTTTTGCAATAAAATAGATTTTGATACTAAGCTCATTTTTAGGTTTGCTCAGTAGAAACCAGCTAGAAAATGTGATGGAAACCTCAGATGAAAGAAATCTTTTCGTCATATACCAGAAAGGTGATAGCTGTGCAGTTCACATAAACAACCCACAGAGTTCACCATCTTGATACTTTGAACAGACATAGTTTATGCTTTTAACTAAATACCGTTCTTAAACTTCAATGGTTCGAAGTGGTCTCGTTTGACTGAGAGAATTCTTAGACTGTAGTATTTCATGTTCCGTGTTTTATTCTTTAAAATCACAATATTATAGTTCTTTTCAAAATAACTATAATTTTGTGCTTGTTTTAAATGATGAAATATTTTTTTTTACTTTTAAATCATCCTTTTAGTACTAACTGGATTTTGTAGGACTGTCAAAATGGCAAATTAAGAAAATACAAAAATGTAAGCATTAAAAATAAGTAAAATCATGCATGTGAAAAATTTAAATTGCAAACAGCATTTTCGTATTGTGCTGTTTAATTTTTGTGTTTTTCAAAAGTATTTCATTAGATTTTAATGTGGCATTCAACTATTTTAAAAAATTTGTTGTCAGTTAATACTTAAATTGTACTGTCATTATTGTATATTTAAATTTGAGTAATTTAGTTCATGTATTCCATTGAACACTTTTGAAAAGTAACCACTGTGTCATACAGCTAATAAAGTGCCTCTGAATTGTTTCAGTTATCAATCTTTTTCAATATGCTATCTGTAAAATACATATCTAGAATATATTACATTTGTATACAGTAATGTCATTATCTTGATAATAAAGTTTAAGGTTTTGTATACAGTAAAGTAAATAACTTGATAATGTAGTTTAAGCTTAAGCTTTGTCACAATACTATACAAATTAAAAGTATATATATGTTTTTTTGATAAATATAGGTTTGCCATCTGCTACATTAAGCTTTGAGTTATACATGTACAAATGTAAATATATATTGTATCAATTTAACATTTTAAAAAATGATGGTATATTTAAGTGATTTCAATGTACTTTTTAGATCTTTTAGAAGAAGCTTAGTTTCCAGAATTATTTGGCTGATATGTCCAAATTGGATATGAAAGATTTCAAAATACATAATTATCATTATTTAGAAATACAGCCAATCTTCTAGATCTGAAGCATACTTTCTCAGTGTCTTTGTAGATGACAACGGATAAATAGTTTAGTTTTGTAAGGTATCAACAATTCATGCATTTAAACATACAGTTTGGCTTTTTATTGGTTTCAGTCCGGATTTTCCCAAAAATGGTAAGTTTCAAACGTGTTAACGATGAAACAACATAAACGACGAAAGTTTTGACAAACACAATTTATATGTTTTATAGTCCTCTGTTGGCTTTTGTTTTCAAAATTTCAGAAACTGTTTTATTTAAGTGTTCACATTATAATTCCTTCAATGCTATGATACATAATTCAATAATAGAACATACATAAGCTGTGATATTCATGCAAATATTATTATTATTATTATTCATGCTATTATTTTGTGTAAATTGTGAAGTTATGTATTTGTGCATCTAAAACATCTCATTGACTTTGCTATGAAGTTTTCTGTACTGGATAAAATATATGGATGAATAAGTGTGTATGTCTATTCTATGTGTCTTTTAAGTGAAATTGTACTCCGCCACATTATATATGTGCCTGTTCTAAGTTAGGAACCTGTAATTCAGTGATTGTCGTTGGTTTCTGTCTGTCATATTCGTTTTTAGTTTATTGTGTAGTAAACAATGAGGCGGTTGCTTTTTCAATTAATTGTTCCAAATTTTGTCTCGTCAGTTCCGGTATAGATTTTGCTTATTGTGGATGCCGTACGGTGACATATTTATATAAAAGCCGCTCCATTTGGAATCTGTTGGATAGTTGTCTCATTGGCAATTCTACCTCAACTTCCTAATTTGCAATTTTATCTTGTGTAAAAAAGATGATGTCTCATTCACATTAACCATACATTTCCTTCTGTTACCTAATCTAACATTAGACTCGGACTTCTTTTAAACTGAGTTTTACTGTGCGTATTGCTGTGAGTTTGTTTATTCTACATTGGCTAGAGGAATAGGGGGAGGGTTGAGATCGCACAAAACATGTTTAATCTCGCCGCTTTTTTGCACCTGTCCCAACCCAAGAACCTCTGGCCTTTGTTAGTCTTGTATGTTTTTTTTTCAATTTTGGTTCATTTATATGTTTCGGAGTTTAGAGTGACGTCCATTTTCGCTGAACTAGTACACATTTTTGTTTAGGGGCCAGCTGAAGCCCGCCTCCGGGTACGGGATTTTCTCGCTGTGTTAAAGATCCATTGGTGGCCATAGGCTGTGTTTTGCTCTATGGTCGGGTTGTTGATTCTTTGACACATTCCCTGTTTCCATTTTCAATTTTATTTCCATGAAGTTTTTAAATTAGCAAAATCATTGTTAGATAATTAATAATTAGGCAGCCACATATATTATGATATCTTAATAACGCTATGGTTTTCACTTGTTATTTATATTAATAAGACAATTGCTGGACATTAGAGCGGAGGAAACAAATATGTTGAAAACACTTAAAAGTAGTAGAGTAGCATGAATCATTACTTCATTAGACAATAAAAATTCATTAAAACATAACATTTGTATTCAAAGTCATGGTTTTTGGCTAAAACTAACAAAAAATAACCTTTCAATTAGAGTCCTTTAATATTATACATATACAAATATATAACATAACATAGACAAAAGCGTCTTGAAACAACCTGATGAATATTTTGACTTTAAGCATCACTGAAGAGTCATCAATTGTCGAAATGCGCATCCGGTGCAATAAAATGATACCTTTAATGTGATAAAAATGATATTTAAATTTTCTAGTACATCTAATAAATAAAATAGATTAATAAATATGTTCTGAAAGGTTTGACTTTCCGATTTGAATTTTCTTCGGAGTTATGTATTTTTTTTTATTTTACTTTTTATGTTAGATATTTCATTGCATAATACAGAATTTGGTCAAAAGTTCAAATATTATTAACACATATCCTGCAGAATGATCCTGTTTGATACAGATATTTAGTTTCAGAATATAATAAATGTGACACTTACTGATGTGATATATAAAGTTTAAATAGAAGTGTGTTTTGGTTCTATTCCAAACTGCAAAACTATGTCTTTATTGTGCATTTTCATGTGATAATTGTGGTGTCGAAATTGTTGTCACACTTTAAATCTGTTGCATATCTGCTATGAATTATAGCATGTTCATCAACATTATGATCCAAAACCGTGGGCGATATGAGATACTAACGATATCAGTATTTTTGAACAAAAAATGTATATAAAACGATATTTATATTTTAAGAATGTTCTATGAACGCATAATTATTATGTTTCCTACATGTTTTATTTTTATAAGTTTACAGTTAACGAGAAAATGAACATTGCTTTATTTGCAATAAAGTTGAATTAATATACTTTTGTATTGTTTATTTTATATTTATTTATTGGTATTCTTTAAGAAAAGGAACACGGCACCGCCAACTGCATTTGCTCGAAACATTTCGAACGTTTTCATAAAATAATGATCCCTTTGACCTGCAAAGCAGTAATAACAGCGCTGTTCCTTTACTTCTTGTTTTTATAGTGTACGTATAAAGATTTTGTGTATTGAATTCATTCACATTATCCTTTCTTTTCCATTGGAGAACACTAATGAATACTAGTACTAATGTAAAAAAATTTTTTAGCCGACCTACCCCTAACAAAATGCAATACAAAAATAAGGATAGGGTAGGATTTCAAGTGGCAATCTCATCCATAAAAAGCCAACTGTATTCATGTTCAAAACTCAAAACTCTCTTTGATAGTTTAAGCCAAGCATAGTTTGACAAAAGATCTGTATCAGTAGATATGAAAAAAATGTAAAGTTCTTTGTTTTAGCTGTGATGGAATGCAACTATATGTCGTTTCGATCGTTCTACCCTTCACTACCATTTAATTTTACTTAATATACTCGAAACTTTACTTGGGAGGGGGTTTCAGCGCTCACAAACCTGTTTTACCCCGCCACATTTTTATGTGCATGTCGAAAGCCAGGTACTTTCTATCGCGTACTTTAGATTTTGCCCATTATTGAAGGGCGAATGGTGACTCTTTATTGTTCACATTTGCATGTTGATCTTTATGGATAATGGTAACCATTCCAAATTGCATTTTATATTGAATGACGCACTAATGACAATAACTGCTGAACAGTAGTTCTATAAGGTATTTAGAGATATTTTATCGTACTGTGGTCCCGTTTATCGTCGCTTATGCAATTGGGGAACTAATATAAATAACCGATCTCGCATCGCTCCAGTTTTCTGGTACAGGAAAGACATATCAAAATAATTACGAACACGCTATGCTATGTGTTGAGATACATATTTTACTTAAGTATTTTAACATCCATCTTTCATTATAGATTTTTGCTTTCAAAAATCATGATGTAGGCACGGTGTACGGTTTGAGTGGAAAGATCACTAAAAGAATGCAAACAGAAATGTCTATGTTCATTGCAACGAAGGGGCTCATGTTCAAAACACATGACAAGGAGAACGAAACGGAAGACGATTAGAGGGTAGGTGATTTGATAAAATAATGTTTACGGTTGAAGAAAAAAACCGAAGGTATCACCAGTTCAGTAGCTGACATAAAATATCATTGATACAGTATCCTTAAATTTATTGTTCATAGAATCCGTAAAACTTTTCAACCCGTAGTATAGATGGCCTTATTGAAATTTGGAATAACTTATTGGAATATGTGGTCATTAAGGCCCGTCAATACCGTTGTTGATTTTGCATTTTTACTGTTTTGATTCAAACACCACTGGTTAGGTTTATAAAAATGACATGCGCAGAGATTTTTCCACGAAGAAGGTTCATCTAAATAGGTCACCAAGAAAAGGGGATTGACCACTTTAACATTAGCAATGCCAATAACGCTCAAAATAACGAACAAAACAGAATAAAGAGGACGAATATTTGTGAAATGTTTTATTCTTTTGAAACGTCGAAAAAGCATCGTTTGATTTCTTTTAATTTGTGTCTTTTATAAACAAAACAACAAGAAGTGAAATACATACACGTTCCCTAGAAAATTACACTAAAGTCTATACCCCATTAGAAAAAAAAACCGGATAAGCAAGTTGACTAAAAAAAGGATAACTTGGTATGGAGAACTGCACATGGCTCATCTGCATGTTCTACAAAGGAATTCTCCATAATATTGACAAACATTCTGCCGCAGTGAAAGAGGGTCTTCAGAAATACTGTGAAACTGTTTACTCGAGTAGTGCTATTAACCATATGTGGATTCTAAATAACTCCTCTAAAGAACATCTGGATAATTTTAAATCTCGATCTTTCTCTGAAATTAATTCTATCAAAACATTTGATTTTTCAACCCTGTATACCGAAATTCTCTTTGTAAAATTGAAAAATCGTATAAAACAGATAATCCACAATGCTTTTCAATATAAAAAGGTAGCCTATGCTATAAATTTATTACTTTGGGATACCATACGGCATATTTTGTTAATAGTGAACAAAAGGGTAAAACATGCTACATAGAGCAACAAGTGATCAGTTTGCTGGAGTTTCTTGTTGACAACATATTTGTTGAATTTGGAGGTAAACTTTTTTAACAGATTGTCAGCATTCCCATGGGAAAGATCGGCATGCCTCTCCCTGTCTACCTCTTCTTTTTTTCAGATAAGTCGGAGTCCTTTCAGACACTTGTCAAAAACAAGAAGATCAAATAAGCCAGATCATTCAATTTCACATTCAGATATATTGACGATGTTCTTTCCATTAACAATCCAAACTTTTCTGATTGGGTTTCATTAATATATCCTCCAGAACTAGAAATTAAAGAAACAACAGACACGGCTTCGTCCGCCTCATTTTTAGATTTATACCTCGAATTTGACATAAGCGGTCATCTTAGTACCAGCATCAATGACAAACGAAACGATTTTAATTTTGAAATTATAAATCCCCCCTACCTTAGCAGCAATATACCAACTCCACCTTCATATGGGGTATACATTTCCCAACTCATTCGGTATTCAAGAGCTTGCAGCTGCTATTCAGACTTTATAAAACGTCACCAGTGTCTCAGCAGATAGTTGATGAACCAGGGTTACGTCAAAGAACGTATTGTCCTTTTTCTCAAAAGTTTATTGGAAGATACCAATACCATGTTGATAAATATTCCGTATCAGCTTCACACATAGTACATGATGGTCATGAAGTATAGATTCTAGGTACTTACGTTGTTTATCATCTTAATAACGTGTAATAGTGTTTTTATTTGTCTTTGTATATTTTCAAACTTTACTGTTTAGTCCAGTTTTGGTAATATACTTTTGGCGTGCTCGGTACTTATACATCCCGCCATTTTGTTATTGTGCTATGGTAATTTCTTTCATTTTTGCATAGGAACTTTGTATATTGAGTGTCTATATGCTATTTTGTTTTTCCTTTGTTGAAATAGTTATATGTTTTTATAGTGATTAAGATTATAACACAACGTTGACTTTTTTACCCCAATCTTTGACAATTTTACCTATTATGTCTGTTTGTTTTGCTCACACTTTGTTGTCAATATAATGGAATATTATGCGACTGTCATACAAGTGAGATGTTTAGCTAGCAATAAACCAGGTTTAACCCACAATGTTCTACATGAGGAAATGCCTGTACCAAGAATATGACAGTTGTTTTCTGTTCGATAGTTGTGTTTGAGCTTTTTATTTTGTCATTTGATAAATGACTTTCCGTTTTGAATTTTCCTTGGAGTTCGATATTTTTGCTATTTTACATTTTACACCTAGTGATCGTCTCAAGATTTAATTCTTTTTCATGATCATGAGATATATAAGGTGTTAATCCTTTTATTTTTTAGCCTTAAATTACAAATATCATAATTTTGACACTTTGTCGGATCGATGTTCTGAAATTAACTGAGAACAGTGGACAACATTATCATTTGATCAGTCTATTCGATTATCGTGTTATAACTGAATAGTGATTGTTTTTTACTGTTTTGATATATAGAGACAGTCAAATACTGGATGTAGTTGTGGAAAGTAGTTTACAGGACATTCTGTTACTTTAACACAGGTTGTACCCAAATTAGAAGCAACAGTAGATTACCGATTTTCAAATCTCACAAATTCTTTTAGAACAAAGAAATCAACATAAAAAGCAAGAACTGAGAAAAATTGTAAACGGAGCGAGACCGGGTGCTTTTGTCACAGTGGACAAATGGACAAAATTTGATTTTGAGACTTTTCGGACATTTTGTAAATGATTTTGTAAAATCACTGTTTTTCTTATGTTTGCAATATTTCACTAAGGAATTTTGTTATTTTTATTGTGAAAGGTTAAAGTCTATTTTGGAAAATTAAGCTAATCTGATTTCACGCTTCTATTTGTTATACAATTAGAGACAATTACTTTGATCTTACATAATATTCTTGTATCTATTTAATTCGATAAATAAGTCTGTATGTTCTATTGTTAGTTATTAGCTATGTGCTAATTTTTCTATACCCGTTAATTGTATTTGTCACTCATTTTGAGAAATATTTGTCAAGTCTATTCAAGTAATTTTTGGTTTGTTATATAAACTGTTTTATGATTTCGATATTGCAGATTGGATTTAGTATTACACTGAGCAGTTCCAACTCTGTACAATTGTCTTCCATGCTGAACTATTAAATCATATATCGCGGAAACCAGAGTCGTCATTTGTTGCAAGAGTTAGTCCCAGAGTCAGAGTCCGTGCAGACTCGTCGTATTGTTTATTTTGTGTGTGTGTGTGGTTGCAGGCCAACACATAACACAGTCATAAGATACACCCAGTTTCTATTTGTGACATTTGGTGCCAGGTCTGGATCGTGTTGACTTTTTAGCTCAACACGCTTTCTTGATACCTCAGAGCAGCAAACGAGTTACCAGCTCCCCGGAGACGTTCATGTACATGTAGCAGAGTTGCAGTGATGGAATACAACTTCAGGCTACAGTGGAGACCATGGTTTTTCTAGATGCGTCAGATTCCAATGTGCGCCAGAGGTGGTAATCAGCATAGACAAACATTTTGTTTTGCAGCAAGTAAGCATTGTTTAAATGTCCTATGTCATCATATAGGACATTACGCACAAATGTGTGTCTTTCGTCCTGTCAGGAAATTCAAAAGTGCAAAGACGTACCGCAGACAAAAATAAAATCCAAATCACAAAAGTCACGAGATTCGAGACGCATAAAGAAATATTTAGATTCAAAATCATTGACCCGCAGTTTGCCATTCGTCAACTTACGTGATTTGGCATTCAGAAGTTGTTTGGACTCTACTAGTAAAATCAAATGTGAATTAACGTGTGTCAAACGCAAACTTTCAACAAAACAAAACAAAAATGCGAGAC